AAAACAACAAATTATTCCCCATTATTGTATATATGTCAAAAAGTTTTATTTTGAATTTTGTTCTTCTTGAATTAATCAACTAAGGCGAAGTATTAGGAAAAATGAACAGCTTAATGTACTTGTAAACATTAGTATAGATATTTGGTTCATTTTCCCAGTATATGTTCATGTACTCCTGAGTCATATTTTGTAGTGATAACTAGTGATACTACCCGGCTGCCCAAATCGGATTCTTAATCCATTGGTTGAAGATACATGGTACACACAAGTGGGTATTCATGTATTCTGTTAGATATTCGTCAGGCTTTACTCTAATATACAGTAATATTTATATGCATATACAAAATTACTAAATTAATCAAGACAGTTAATGAGTCAGTGATAACAGTGGAATAGATCATATAAGTAAAGAGTACAAATTCATAGTATTTGTATTCATAAGTGTTATAACTTGTGACCTGTGCACCGTGCTAATATATAACAACGATGCTGCCAATTAGAGAGCAGTGAATTATCGATCGGACAAATGACGCCTAAAACCCATACGAGCAGTCTAGAGCACTTATCGGTCCTACTTCCTGCCTAGCCCAATCAATTAAGTCCAGGACACCAATCTCTGCCTCTGCGACATGAATCATTTATTTCAAGCATACTGGGTTTATATACCAATCAAGCAGACCACATCGTACCAATAAGGTATGAAACAACATTTGTACAAGAATTAGCCAAATGTGGATGTGAATGCGGGAGGTAGTAAGTAATAGACGGCATAATTCAAGAATGGTAAGTCGTATAATAATAGTTCATAGGCCAAACTAAAGCTTATAATAAGAGGGACATTAATATGAACAGTTTAGTTATTTAACAATTTTAAAAATATACACATAGTATTGGTCCACAAATGGATCCCAAAAAGTTACCATTCATTATGCTTATCGGGACATAACAATGAGGAATTTGTAACACCTTTGTCTCTTCCTTGATCGAGATAGCCTTAATAAACGATCTTAATAATTATTTCTCGCACCTTTTGTTCGTTTATTTCTCTTCATTCAATCCAAATCATTTCTTCCAAATGTACGCTTCATTGTTCAATTATCTGAACACTTATTACATAATCCTATAGTTTTTATGAGTGCTATTTCAGTGTCTTTATTACTAAAGTCATTGACCTATTTCTCATTATGAAACATGGATTCAAGACCTAGTACACCTGTCATATCACTATGAATTTGTACTCTACTTATATGATCTGTTCTACTGTTATAACTGGTTCATAAACTGTATTGATTAGTTTAATAATTTTGTATATGCATATAAATATTACTGTATATTAGAGTAAAGCCTGATGAAGATCTAACAGAATACATGAATCCATGATTACCCACTTGTGTGTACCATGTATCTTCAACCAATGGATTAAGAATTCGATTTGGGCAGTCGGCTAATATCAAGCCTAATGAGGATCTAATTGGAAACAATGTTGTTAGCTTGTTGTTCTAATTCACAATATAGGAACTTTAAAGGTTCATATATTTTAAAAATGTTCATTTGTATAGTTCAGTATCTACTTATGAGTTATTATTTTGGTTAAAATAAATTATTATTAGTGTGTCTTTTTCCATATTTCTTCGATATTAAAAGTAAAGAATCTTGATTAGTACGTACTCTAGTGTTAGTTTTTTTTTATCATACAGAGTGAATAAAGTAGGTAAACTCTCAGTTTTGTTTAGTCAATATTTTTCAGTCCTAAATCGATCAACATAATTTAGATTGTTGTTGAACGTTTATAGTATGGGGTCACTCAATCCACTGAATATAAATTACAACTGAAATAATTTAATATAGCTGGTAGTTTCTTGGTGGGTGGAAAACCCGATTTCATGATCAGCCATATCTATCATAATACCGCTGAACCGCCAGTGACCAAACCTAGGTTTTATAGTGGTTACCTTACCCGGTCACCAAACAACACATTAATTGTAACAGCTATATGTCCTAAAGTAACATAAGACTAGGAATTCAGGGATGTATGACTAGCAGAGATCTACTTCAAAGTAAGCTGATTATTGTCAATGTTATTACACGATTAAAACCCATATACTATTGCAATTGATGTGAAGTATTTTAATGTAGTTTATACATTTCAATACCAAACACTTTTCTCATTCTAGATATATTTAATATTCAATATATTTTAAAGCAAATTACTTTAGAGACCATTAATCCAAGAAAATCATTCGAAGATTGTACACGTGTTTATATCGTGTGATTAATGCATATGATGTAGCTTAATTTTGGTTATACTCTGATTAATTTGAAGCGTTTTCTAAATTATTCTGATAATAATTACATTTACCTACTGTGACTCAGCATAGCTCCTACATCTATATATTTATGTACCCTAGGAGAGTAAAATTCTTATTACTGACTTAGTATTTGTTCTGGCATTTCGGTCTATTTGTAGGAACAGTATGTTGTAATGAAGCATTAACGGCGATAGGATATGTCGAACGACAACTAAATCAACAAACCTACAGTACTTAATTCGCTACCGAAGTCTTTATTTTGAGACTAGTTATCGTACAATATTTATCCCTGGGTATTACCTAAAATTCTGACCATACTTTCTTGAACTGGATTTAAATTATAGGGGTTTTTTGATTTTGGACTTCGGCCGTATTAAAGGATTATATCGCAGTGAAACAGTTAGTGAAGTTCGACAAGACTGTCCTCCTGTTAGAATTAGTACCATCATCATTCCTAAGCTGTAAGGTCAAAAGTTTCGCAGTTCAACTCGTGTCGATTGGTTTCATAGGTTTTGAACATTTTTAGGTCAATAATAACTAAAGAGAGATCATAAAATCAGAACGACTGATTGTTAATTTTCAGGTAGCCTGAACAATATTCAATCGAGGTTTCAGAATTAAGGAACAAGGTGAGAACGCTAAAGATTTGTTGCAGCTGAATACTGAAGCTTTTCGATATATCTGATGCGGCCGAGGATGGGGAGAGTCAGCTCTACCGAAATGCTTTTACATGGCCATGCGTATACAGCTACTGACAGGGGAGTCCTGCTCACTGCAGTCTCGCGGTATTACTTTTGTTTACGAAGTTGACAAAACGAAAAGTGAATGTTTGGCGCATTAACCAGGTTGGTGGACACGAAGGGTACGCCTAGAGGAGTTGAAGAACCATGATTCCAAACCAATGATCCATATGGGCTCCAGGATTCTGATGGATCGAATGCCACATGAACTCATTGTTGGTCATCAGCTACCATGTGACTGCATCTCCTGATGTTGCTCCACTACCTTATGGGTTAGGCTTAGGGTGTGGCCCCCTAAAACAAGCACCTGCTTCAGTTTTGGCACCCGGGCAGTATCCCAGTTCTCACACAAATCAAGAGACTTCTGCGGTGCATATGTATCCGATGCCGTTCTGTACCAATATTATTGCGTTCAAATCTCGATAGACTGGTGAAACTGCTCAAGCTGAATTCAGGAAACAATTGATTACGTAGAATATCCCCCTGAGCAATTTTAAGGGACAATAATGTACTTGTCTAGACGTTCATTTTATTTATATACGTTTTATTGAAAAAAACACGAGCAAGGAAATATCAGAGAATTGTGCTTGTAATTCCATCTATTCCTTCACAAGGAAAGTTGTCACATTTCCATGTTTCTAAATAACAATTTACAGAACGCATAAGCTATTCACAAAAAAACATTGTATTGGGTAGAGCGCCTATTTATAGTGGTTAGTTCAGTTACAGGGAGTCTAACCAGAAATTGAGCCTGCAGGTTCCTCGACATTAGTGAAAGAATTCACAAATTGTTTTAACAAGACATTTTCATGGAAGTTTATGACTAGACACTCATAAAGTACAGAGGTTAATTGTTATATTGTCAGAATTTCCAGTTCTATTGCATAGAGACTTCATTTTAATGAGATGTGGATTTATAGACGAATCTATCAGTGGCAGATCGCAAAGACGTGTCGCTGACTTAGCTTAGAACTTGATGTTGAACTTCATTCTATTCTGACGGAAACAACCCATTATCTTTTCAGGTAATAACACTAACTTCAGGGCTTTACATCGTCGTACTAAGGGAAGACTTTGAATATGCCCCGTGCAGCCCGACTGTAAGACGGACACCCAGTATAGGAAAAATGAAGTGTTGGGTCTAAATGCATTGTACCAACTACTATGGATGTCTTTAACAAATCTCAAGACTACTAGACCAACCATGTACTACATTAGTTAATAGTTAGTCAAGCAGCACAGTAAGCGGCTGTTCGAGATATAAGTGTCCGACCATAGAAGTAACTTCTGTGTCATGGCGACAGTCTGCAATGCTAACGCAAGGAGGAAAGTCTTATGGTAAAAGTTGTGTAGCTGATACCTGGAGTGTAGTGTTCTGAAGCCAAACGTGTTTAGGCCAAAACATCACATCAACATATGACAATAACCCCTTACTTTGGTTGTTTTATATCCCTTTTAGAAAAATGTTTATAATCCTAAACCGTTATGATTAGTTTTCAGCCTGTAGGGGTAGGAATTTTTATATCATTTTTTGAGAGTGAACTAATTTGGCTGATCCCGCTTGGCAGTCTGTAGCAATTTTGACTGTTACAATTAACTGCTGTCTTTTATATCAAGACAGATTGGATAAAATGAGACAAGAAACGCAACTGAACCGCCTATTTCTTTTTATAAAATTGAAGTCGGCCACGTCATTGGTATTAGAAACCTATGGATATAGGAACAAATGCTTAATTTTTACTGAAAGTGCATTACGCTACAGCCAAAAAAGATCGTATCAGGTATAGACCAACTATTCGCACTACATGATATATTGAAGTATTGCGTCACACGGCAATTGACTTCACACATACCCAATATGTAGCCGGGCAAGCAGATTTAATGATCCATAGAAAAAGTAGCTGGTGTTTATATCGGTAACTACATGTGAATACGAATACAGGACTAATGCTAAAAATAGGTAAAAGTTTTAGGGGATATATAAATGGAGATTATTGCAGAAACGTATTAAGCTACTATTGTTACCGTTACGAAATGCTCAGGACAGTAGACTTTTTAGTTGGTTCACAGGAAGGTCAATTCTTTCGAAACTTATAATGACGCTTATATATAATAAACGAAACTGAAAGGTTACATTTCAAAACAAGTTAGTCAGTTCCACTAGAAACGAAAGGAGAACCAAGATCTGCGGTAAACCTATACGTTTATTTCAGACATTAAAACTTTTGGAATGCCTTTTTGTACTTTGAACCAGCGGCTTTCGAAACTTTGATGACATTGAATGATACTGTTTTACTCAGGGGTCTACACTCACCAACAGTTACGACATCTCCAATATCCACATCTCTGCAAGTGTAAACAAACACAAGGTGAACTCACCTGAAGCAAGGAGATATATGTACAGACATATTCTTATGTCGCTTCTCATATCGGTTGTACTTTTTCACGTACTTGAGGTAGTCACGACGAATAACAATAGTCCGGTTCATCTTCATTTTACGCACAACACCTGTGAGGATTCGACCACGGATACGTACATTTCCAGTGAAGGGACACTTCTTGTCAATGTAATTACCGAATATAGCCTCTTTTGGAGTTTTGTAGCCAAGACCTATGCTCTTGTAATACCTTCCGCCGTTCTTTCCTTTCACTTCTTGCTTTTGAAATGCGTTTTCTCTCTGGAAATAAACAATTTACGTGACCTGCAACTAACCTGCTCAGCCATGCCCAGGTAAATTTAAAGTTTGTGGCGTTCAGGCTCACCCATTTAAACACTTTCTCTTTACAGGCTCGTTGAATTTCAAAATACGTGATTTTTAACTAGGTGTTTTTAAGGTTTCAAATAAAGTAATAAATAAAAATATTTCGGCATATAATAATGTTTGAAACTTAGAGTATCTGTACTAACTTCGTAGTGATCGTCATCCTCAGTAATTGGCTAGCTCATGTTGGATAGTCTATATATACGGTATACCGTATATTTGTTTACTTTCTTCCCAATTTCATGCTAGTGGACTCTATATATCCAAACTGGTTTTCGTTTGGTTATTTGCTCAAATATCTGATATGGGATGTGCATGGAGTGAACCAGCTAAAGTTCAGCAGGATAAGAGTAGGGCTATAGAGAAGCAAATAAGACACGATGCAGAAAAATCAATGAAAGAGGTCAAGTTACTTCTTCTTGGTGCTGGTGAGTGTGGGAAGTCGACAGTTTTAAAACAGATGAAAATAATCCATGGTGAAGGTTACAGAGAAGAAGAGAGAAAAGAGTACAAACCCATCATTTTCGCCAACACCCTTCAGTCGATGATAAAAATTCTAAAAGCAATGGAGACACTGGATATAACGGCGGATGGTTTCGACCAAGCAGATGAGTTAAAGCACCTAAACGGATATTTACCTACAGTTGAAGAAGGAGATTTTCCTGAGGATTTATCAAAACTTTTACTAAAACTATGGAACAACACAAGTGTGCAGAAATGTTTCGCACGTTCCAAGGAATACCAACTGAATGATTCCGCAGGCTACTACCTCAGTTCTATTGATAGAATATCTGCTCCTGATTACTTGCCAACTGAACAAGATGTATTGAGATCTAGGGTGAAGACAACAGGTATAGTCGAAACGAACTTCCGGTTCAAGGATCTAGACTTTAAGGTTTTCGATGTCGGTAAGTTCATTGAGATTTATCACAGAACGTTATTTTTATGTCCTGGTTGCCGTAGTACATGATACTCCTGAGAAATATGATAATAATAAATTCATGAGGTGACATATTAAACCACATGAGAGTAAGATTTGTGATATTTACAAGTGTGTGAATTTGGTTATTATGGAGTGTTACGCGATCCCACTTGTGAAATTAAAAACCTTATATATTTTGAGCTAGCTTTATTAAAGACATTCACTTCTCTTACACTCAGAGAGCGACAATGAATCGTTTTTACTGAACTTTGTACTATAATGAGTCTATAAGATGGCCAATTTTGTTCTGTCGGTAATAATATATTATCACTTGTAGTAGCAGCGATTATAATTATGTATATGAGTCTATAGTGCATCATTCCTAATGCATATATCTGATTTTCTGACACATACTTTGTTCCTCTTAGCTTGAGCCAAACGTACAGCTTATGATGAATATAGGTACGTTCTCGTTTATGAGCAAGGTGAGACTAAAGATCCTTATTTATTTATTTGATTTACTTATAATATTACTGCATGCATCAGAAATATTGTCGAAACTCGACGTTTGTGATACTTATTTAATAGATAAAATAAGGATGGAAACTGAAGTTAAAAATCCCTAATGTCCCGTATTTTTAACTATGTGATAAAGTATTTTTCCGAATTTTTATCTCTTTTATGGACTCCAAGGTGAACGTCTTCCATTTCTCTTTCTTATATGTTATATCTTCCTCGTGATCTTTTGACTGTTACGAAACTTTTCTATATGAATGAAATGTGACTAGCACCATTTACTCAAATATGAACTACTTATTCGGTAGAGTAACTATAGGTTGCATTACGAATTTGATATTTTTCCTCTTTTCTTTCAAACTTTATTTTAATTGAATGTAACAACTTTTCAGAATCGTGGCCCTTGTGAATCAGGAAAAAGAGATGATCTGTAACTTGTTATATATGTGTGTCAGAATATTCTCAGTATAACATTAACTTACTACCATTTAGTCAGTCACTTTGTTAGAAGACAGTTTACCCCTTTCCCATCATTGACTACGATGTAAATACTGGCTGTTTGTACATCATGAACTTTAACTAAAAATTCAGTGTTGATAACATCAAAATTAATTTTCGGATTCAGTGGTCATTTAACTTGATTTAAGAGTTTAACCTATCAAATACAGAGACTTATATGAGTGAGTTTGAAAACCTTAACTATGTATTATTTCATGTCTTGTGTAAAACATTTCATCAAATGACGAATTGTAAATGTTATTATGAACAAGAATATAAACGAAAATATACAAGTATGAAGTTATTTGGTTGGTCTGACTTAACATACTATATTTTAAGAAATAAGTTTGAATATCTTAGTATTAGATATGCAATGCATAGACCATGCATTTGTAGATTAAACTTACGCTAATCCCCGAAGTTAAACTTGATGACCACAGAAGTCAGTAGATGTATGTACAGTTGAAATGAAATGAAATATTTGCTTACCAAATATGGTGATATGGATTTTGAGCGAAAAGAATCAACCATAATGAACTAAACAGAACTGTGTAGCTTTATAACATCCTCACTTGTTGATTTCGTTTATGATTTCATTCAATATTAGTTAGTTGATTTAAAGAATAATCTAATGGTTATGATCCCAAATCCTCATTTTTGATTGTTTCATGAACAATGAATAGAAATGACCTATATCATTGTATATAATTCTGCTATGAAAGATACTGTATCAAACAGTTTATGTCCTTTCAAAAAACATCCGAATTTTAAGTGACTATTCTTCTATAACTATGACTTAATTCAAAAAGGTTTTTTAACATGTTGATTGTTATGATGCGAAAGGAGCTGCGGAAATGATGCTGAATATAATACACAAGAATAAGAAACTTAAAACTGACCTTACAATGTATCGCATAGAAAATAGATAAACTTTAACATTAGTCTGTAACACACCTTTTATCTGGTATAAAACCTCTCTCTCTCTCTCTCTCTTGTGGTCAGACCTATCTCCACACTCTCTCTCTGTGTGAACTATCTTGATAAGGTACTTAAAATAAGCTTGTCTATTAACTCTGTAAGAACAAACAGTTATAGATAATATAGTGTAGTAAATGAGAACATAAATAGGGACAGCTGAATGTCTTTAAACATATCGATTACAGAATCAAACAGTAAATACTTCATTTACAAAATGTTAATCAATCATCTTAAACTTCAATGTTCCTTCATTTTCACACTTATTATTCTTTGTTCTCGTTCTCTTTTATTTGATCTTCTTAACCATCTACCTTCAGACATTTCACTTTTGTTTGATGATACATACTACTACTTATATTTGTCAACATCAGTAGTATACACTACAATATAATATAATTTGAACGAGATGCATAATAATGTATCAAGTCATTATCAGTATATAAAAACATCACAAAATGATAAATAATAGTTTGAATAGTAATTTTGATAAATAAATAACTCATCATGTTAGGAGATAGTAAGCAGATATACTGCCCATAAAGCATTCGATTTGTATGAGGGTTAGAATATTGCCATGGGTACCCAAAACTTGTGATCAATAATAAATATTTCTATGAAAAGTATCTTTTTAAATTACCCTGTGATCAATAATAAATATCTGTTTGTTTGTTTACAATGTGAAAGAGAACTATGATTATAATCATTATAAGCTCTTTATAGAATATATTCAACTATTTAAAGTGAAACAAACATAATTTATATCAGAAGGGTTTTGTGGAGATTATAGTAATTTCAATGATTGAGATCATGAGTCAGTTGAAGCTAGACCACCTTGGAAAACCTAAAATCACTGAATGACTGTTCCGTCCTATTGTTGGACTCCTCAACAGTGCGCATTTACGACCTCGCCTCGCAAGATTCGAACCCAAGACTTATCAGTCTTGAGCGCGTACGCTTAACCACTAGACCACGGCCATCCACTGCTTCCAGATTTCTCATGGTGGTCTAGCTTCAATTAACTCATGATCTCAACCATTGAAAGAAACATAATTTACACAATATCAAGTCGTTTAGATTAATGATCGCTTTATAATATTGAATAAAGCCATTACTACTACTATTACTACTACTGCTACTACCACTACTACTACTGTAGTGAACAGAACATGAGTGGGGACAATCGAATATATTTAACACAAAATTACAGGACTTGTTAATACAATCTAATCATCAAATAGTAAATACGTAATTTGCAAAATGACCATCAATTGTCTCATAATGACTGAGACTTCATTGTTCTTGTGTTTTCATACAAATTGCATTCTGTTTCCATTCTTTACTGTTAGATCCTCTTGTCTCTCTGCTGCCAGACATTCTGTTCACGACTAACATCATATACTACTTATGTCAATATTAGTGGCATACACCACACTACTACTACTACTACTACTACTACTACTACCACTACTACTACTACTACTACTACTACTACTACTACTACTACTACTACTACTACTACTACTACTACTACTACTACTACTACGACGACGACGACTACGACTACTACTACTACGACTACTACTACTACTACTACTACTACTACCACCACTACTACTACTACTACTACTACTACTACGACTACTACTACGACTACGACTACTACTACTACTACTACTACTACTACTACTACTACTACTACTACTACGACTACTACTACGACTACGACTACTACTACTACTACTACCACTACTACTACTACTACTACTACTACCACTACTACTACTACTACTGCTACTACTACTACTACTACTACTACTACTACTACTACTACTACTACTACTACCACTATTAATATTGATAGTAATAACTTATTTGACAGAATTCGAATTCAGTAAACAAACATGACATCAATCATCATTCGGTGAATAGGTCATATCAATAAAGTCGATTTTATTTTTTCTTTTTCTTTTTGCCTGATATCAAACTTTTGAACAACTCCCTTAAATACAATAAACAAACTTGATAATAATGATAATAATTAAATAAAACGTTTAGGTTAAATATTGAAAAGTGAATTAGTTTTTATTCAATAACTTAATTATAATTATTTTTTTAAATTAATATGTCAATTATTCTTATTATTAAATAGGGAAACATTCAATAGTAAGTAAAGGTAGAAAGGAACAATAAGTTACAGGTTCATATTTCTATATGATAATAGAAGGATGAATGAAAATGAATTTGGGTTAATTGTCTTAGTATAGTCTAATTAAATACTTGACATATATATATCTAGAATGGGTTTTGTGAGTCCTTCCGGGAGCTACTGTTGGTCTCAAACCCGGAAAAAAGGAGAAGGGTTGGGTATGGGGTTAGCGACCCCATCCCGTAGAAAATGAACTCGCTAGAAAAACGCTAACCAGAGAAAATTATTCAAACCCCGTGCTGGGAGCCAGAACGTCTTCATTTAGAAGAGTTATGACGCCTCATGATGAAAGCTGAGTTCCTTCGGAAGTCACGAGGCCGATACTCCTTCTGACGACCATAGCAACCATTTATTTAGTGTAAGTAGGTAAGTAAGTAAGTAAGACCATCATAGAAAACTTGGAGGCACAAGACGATCGTTTCGTCGTAGTATGGAACTCCTCAGAAGTGAGCATTCACGATCCCGCTCGGCAAGATTCGAACCCAGGACCTGGAGTTCTAGTGAGAAGCAGCGACCAGTGAAGCTCAACCAAGTCTGTTGTGAGATAATAACTCACTGATGACAATGGTGGATTAGTTGAAGTTAAACATAAACACCGTTGAATGCCGGTCATTTCAGTTATCTATAGGTTAATCGTTCGCGTGCTAATTGATAGGCCCTGGGTTCGAATCTCGCGAGGCGGGATCGTAGATGCGCACTGCTGAGGAGTCCCATAGTAGGACGAAACGACCATCCACTGCTTCCAGATTTTTTATGGTGGTCTAGCTTCAATTTATTCATGGTTTCAA